CTTCACCAAGTTACTCCACTTGTCCATTTGTATTCATTTTAGCTTTGGACTCCTTAATGGTTATATCCTCACCCACCATGTGGGTATAGCCTTCTTTGGTCACATTGGCTTTTTTTGGCTAAATTGGCTCCACTAGAGTCCTCCCCTACTATACTTTTAGAGCTCACCAAACCCCCCAAGGTCTAGGAGATGATCGTTTTAGGCTTTGGATTTGGACTTGGATTTAATCTCGAACTCAGTCTCCGACTCGATCTTGGACTCAGTCTCGGACTCGGTCTTGGACTCAGTCTCAGACTCGGTCTTGGACTCGGTCTTAGTCTCAGTTTCGGTCTTAGTCTTGGTCTTGGTCTTGGTCTCTTTCTCGGCCTCGACCTCAAACTCCATCTCAGATCCATCTTGGAATCGACCTTAGACTCCATCTCAAGCCCATCTCAGACTCCATCTTGGGTCCCTCTCAGACTCCATCTCAGGTCCATCTCAAACTCTATCTCAGGTTCATTTCAAACTCCATCTCGGGTCGTATGTTGCATATGAAACATAAATCCCTAAGCCCTAAAATGGCCACATAGTAATGGTTGAAGCGGAAGTCCAACTAGTGTAATATGTTTAGACCAAAACCTTTAACTTAGAAAGTCGAAAGTGGGAGTAGAATTCTGAATGAAGTGTTCGAGGGATGAGTATGAAGTAATCGGTGAATAAGTCTTTAAAAAGGGACACAAGAAGGATTAACACATGGCAAATGTCATGACATATTAAAGCGTTAGAAATAAGTCCAAGATGAAATTCGAGAAAAAATCCGAGATGAAGTCTGAAATAAAGTCCAATATAGACCTAAGATGGACCCAAGATGGTGTCTAAAATGAAGTCCGATATGGACCTGAGATGGACTTGAGATGGAGTTCGATATGGATCCAAGATGGGCTCAAGATATTGAGATCAAGAATTTGTGAAAAGAAGTTTATAAATTAAAGGAGAACAAGAAAAAAAAAAAATTAGCTAGATAGCTAAACTAGCTAAATCTAAGCAATTAGACTCTTCTTCAAGTTTTAAGGACAATGAAGTTTTGCAGTCACTCTTGGTTGCAAGAATTTCAAAATTCAATCCTTCAAAACTAATTAATTTCAAAGGCATATGGGACTATCAAGTTTTAGAAGATTAGGTTTATAATATAAAAAACTATTTATAACAATAAACATGGATGATTGTACAAAGGTTATGTGTATACAATCCTTTCTCATGGATCATACCAAAACTTTATGGCACTAGGTTTGAATTGAAAATGGGTATGCTAAAATGTAATCTTGTATTTATAAAGAATATTTGCTGGATGATCTTTGTCTAAAACTTCATATAGAGCTATAATGATTAAAGTAGTATGGAGACTTTATGCATTATGTTAATGCATTTACTTAGAAATGCATTACAATTGCAAATATAAGTGATGAAGATGCTCAAAGTTATTTTCTAAAAAGTTTAAATTTACTTTCTTGCAATAAGATTTTGAAATTTAAGCCGAAGACATACCTAAGGTGTAAAGAGGCAACATAGCAAGTTTCCTTTAGTCACTTGGTCATAGAATAGTATCAATAGTTATATGCTAGTACCTTAGATAAGAATTAAAACTTTAGGAATAAACAAGGTAATTGGAAACAAAGGATGGAAGGAAGGTTTTGCTCTAGATGTTCACAAATAGTGGTTAATAAAGGTAGTAGTTGGTGACCACTAGCAGCTTTTATTGATCCAAAGCCCTCTATTGCTCCTCCTGGTGGGTATAAATAGCAATAACTTCCAAAACCTACTCTTAATGGAATAGATAATATGGGTTAATTGTGTCATTTGAAACACTTGGAGTTAGTGTTTTAGAAGTTCCAATAATACAAACTACATACTAAGGTAAGTAAATGCATTTTTGGATAATTGCATTTGAACTTTCTCAGGTATATAGTTAATGGTGGCATATTTCAGAACTCTATTAGTTGTTCTCCATGAAAGATGTTGCAAGGGAATGTTCATGGGGTTCTTCAACAAATTGTTGTATGAAAACTAATATCTAAAGTGTTAGTCCCAGCTTTTAAGATTTATATGAAGTAGTTGAGCCAAGGTTGGTCTAGGGCAACTGATGCAATGGCCAAAACTCAAGATAGGTATCAATATAATAAGGATCACCATCATTGGGATGTAACCTATCAAGTGGCAAACCAAGTTTGGTTATCCTCCCGGAACTTAAATATTAAGGTCTTTGTCCTAGAAGCTATTACCAAGATATGTTAAACCCTATCAGGTATTAAAGCAAATTAGTGATGTATTTTATAAATTGGATCTTTAAGTTATAAGATATGAGTTATCCTATATATATGATGTGTTCCATGTAAGTTTGCTAGCACCAGATCATGCTGTTGTAGAACACTCTCTAGCCATTTTTTTCCCACTAGCAATTGTTGATGGTGAACCTAAGCATGAAGTTGACATTATTGTGGGATAATAGGGATAGTAGTTGGAAGTATAACCAACTATCTAAAACATTAATTTAGTTTTTATTGAGTTATGTTGCTAATTGTTTTACATTTGACTTGGGGTCTAAGCCCAAATTCCATGCTACTCTAGTTCATGGCATACCCTTCTTATATTAAGCCATTGGTATATTAAAATTATGCTAGACTCCATTTGACACTATTTTGCATGCAAAAGTTGGATATGAGGAACTTGTGCTCATAAGGGATATTAAATGTGTACTAAACCTTCATTTTGTAATGTAATGGGTTTAGAATTTAACTCTAAATTTAAGTGTGCTACAACAAAAATTGAGGGTCCATCCATAAGTAACTTCCACCTTTTATAAGTTTCTACATTGAGTTTTTAGAAAGAGGCTGTGAGTTTTTCTAGCATAACTCAACAACAAGCTACAGCCACAACAAACTTACAATCCTTCTTTACACACCAACCCAAGCTACCCAAAATCCAAGTCCTTTATTCTTCAGAACTGCCTATGTGCTTTAAGTGGGTTCTCCTTCCAGAAAATGGCAATGGTCAGCGGTAAAGGTTAAAGTTAGTTCGGTAGGTTAAATTTAAATATTTAAGATTAAGGCTAACATTGAAAAACCTAGGGCTCCTCGAAAGCTTTTAGCTGCCGGACAGAGATGTACCCGCTTGAGATCAAGGTGAATAAGGCGCGGGTGGCGAGGGCTCGTGAAGTAGATTTTGCACAGTTGCGCAATGAAGGCTCCAAGGTTTTTCTTCCGTTCCCGGGGTTGGAGGGTTCGTGCCAGATCAAGAGGCCTCCTCTCGAGTTCGCATTTTGCAGCACGGGGGAGTACATCGGTTTTAGGAATGCTGTGAAACCTTTACTCAAGGATAGCATGGGGGGCGTTTTCATATTGACAGGTACCAAGGGAGGGGGGAAAAGCAGCATATTGAGAGCCTTCGCTTGGGAGCTTATTAAACTTTACGATATGTCCAACAAGCGGCCACGATCTGGATGTCCTATCACCAGAGTAGTGTGTATTTGGTACTTGAATGTGGATCATCCCGTTGCTGAACAGATCCGTGACGTGCTGCTATTCACGTTCTGCAACGAGAAAGGCTCGGAGGAGGCCATAGCCTCCATAGAAACACCGGAAGATGCTAAGGCATTTCTGGAAAGTCGGAGGCGGCTCGGCGAAAGGATCGTCCTGTTGACTGATGGGGAAGAGCGTCATGATCTGACGACCGGAAGTGATGCAGAGAAGCGCAAGGCAGCCAGGAAATGGACAGACGAACTTTGGGGGCAAGCACTTGTTGTGGTGAAGGCCCTTTCACCCAACAGTGAAGTATTGAAACAATCTCGGTTTCAAGGTAGTCCCACAGTATATAATATCAACAAGATGTTCACGGAGGTAATGTGATGCCTTGAGATTGGAGTTTGCTAACTATCTTCGTCAAACAGGCAGAGCGTGATGCGTACCTGTCGGGAACTGTTCTTGGCAAGTTTCTTGAGAACTATCCTGAGCACTGGGGTGATGTCGAGGACCTTGCTGCATGCCACCCGCTGTCACTTTCCATTCTTGTTAACCATTGCAACAGCCTGACAGGTTACGCCTCAGGTGCTCGAGAAGAGTACAATGATTTTGACGAGCTATATGATCTCTGGCCCGGGCTTGCCGCTGATCCTTCTGCCACCACTGATCCTTCTGCCACTGATTCTTCTGCTGCTGTTCCTCCTGCCACTGACCCTTCTGCTGCTGATCCCAATCAGCTAATTGAGGAGTACTGCCATGTAAGGGCACCGTGTGAATTATTGTAACTAGGGCCTTAACGTTCTGTCCTGCAGAAGTTAGACTGGAAAATGCTTGTGCGGCGCTACAAACAGGATCCAGAATTTCAAGATTTAAAAAATTCGATACACAGGAACATGGCGAATTTGGACCCGGTGTTACCATATGTGAAACTGGCTGTTCTTTTCCCGGCGTTTACGGTGGCGACGGAGTTCTGCACCCCTTTTATCGCAAGGATCCATACGGAGGAGGTGAACAGGCACTTGACGTCTACAGATCCTATCGGAACAAAGTTCCGACGGCTTACGCACGTCAAAGGCTGGCAGATGTGCGGCGTATGAACTGGGCTGAGCTCCGCTACTTGAAGAAATAAACTATCCGGAAGTAGTACAAATCCTTGACCATCCCGAAAGCCCTTAGTCTGCACCTGCTTCGGTTCTGCTCCCTCAAAAGGTTCCCTGGCGAATTCTCTCGGAACCTTGAAATGCCTTTCTTACAAATCACTTTACAAATAAAATTTTCAATCAGCCACACCGATGGTGGTGTTCAAGTCTGAAGGCGTCGTCCATATAATTGCTGGGCAGATAACCATGAACCCTGCGGCCCATCGAAAGACAGAAGAGAAGTTGTGAAGAAGTCATACGTTCAAATGTGGCTACCGGACGTGAGCAAGGACGAAGTTCGGGTGCATATGCCTTCTTCAGCCCGACGAAGGTTGATTTGAACCCCCTGGACAAAGAGGCGGATACTATGGAGTATCGGCTGCATGTTTCGACTTTCTTGGAGTCCTTCGCCCATGGTATCACGGAAGAAGATAGCAAGTTGCTAGAGGAGCTGGAAGAGAAGAGAAAAGAGGCCATGGAGAAGAGAAAGCAGTCCAAGAAGGAGAAGCGGTCTAAAATGGACCCTGCCGTGCTGAAGTGGGTCAATAAATGCAAGAAGGCATTCCTGCAGGCGAAGGCGCGGAAGCATCAGATATGGGTAACTGGAACTAAAGAGAGAATCGTGAAGTCAATATTGGACGCAGGGGTTATGGAGGACTGTGGCGGTCCTGGGAGGCAGTGTGCTGCATGTGCCATACTTGAGGGCTCACAGCTACGCTCACGGCACAGGCCAAGACCAAAATGTGATAGCGAAGAGAAGCTGAAGAGGAAGAAGCTGATGCAGCAAGCATCTTCAAGTAGCAATGAACAGAAGCAGCACTGGAAGAAGGTAAGTAGTGACGAAGAGGTAGAGTAGCGATGAACATGGATGCAGTTTAAGCTCTGGTCTCGTCTGTAGTTCAGCAAGTAGATAGATGATGCCACTACAAAAATAGAATTGAAACTGGCAGAGTAGAATAAATAGAGAACTAGCAAGCAATCCAGCTCTGCTGGAATAGAATTATATCACCAAACAACAATTTTCTTATCTATTTGTAGCCAATATTTTTTGTGTTAATAATTCTGTTTTGCACTGTAGCAATCTTCTATAAAGATTAAAATTCATTTTTTTTATGTTCCCTTCAAGAAAGTAACATTGGCCGAAAATTAATCTTAGCAGAAAATGGCAGTGTTTTTCTTTAGGATTTACATATGCAGAAAATGCAAGCTTTATAGGAAATTGGCGCCTTTTTAGAATGAATAGCATGTCTCAATCAAATAGGACTCTTTTGCTTTGCATATCACTGTATAAGATTTCAGCTTTGATTATGTTTGGTAAAGAATCTAGGAGTTGGTAACATTGTGAAGATCTGCTGCTGCTGCAAGACAAAAGCTTAACTTTTCTAGAGGCTGCTCATCGTGACAACAGACCTTGTGCATGCACAGTTCCCCAAACTTGCAAAAAAAATTGTGCTCCAACCAGTTCTCTTTAATTTGACATTCCTTGGAGCAATAGCTCACAAGAAAGCATCCAGCAAGTTGTTGTACAAAAGTTGCTTCATGAACCCTATTTCTAGATGGAGCATTACAATGTAGCCAATCTTTATGTTTAGCTTGTGAGCATTCCAGTTATCAAGTTTAAAAACTCCAAAGGATTGTCAAGTATCTTTTCATCTGTTTCTGTTTCTATGATATTAATGCTTATTGTGCAGACTTCCAGATGCATGGTCATTAACTTGCTCATTTAAAGTTCTGAGAATAGCCTTTTGTGATAGACTTGGGTTGTCTGGCTCTCTATATTTTCCAAACACACTATCAATTGTTCTCTAGTGGTGGATGTTAGTGGCAGTCTGACAAATGTCTTTGTTGAATTTTATAGGAGGTTTAGGGAGCCTAGTCTCACAAGCCAGTTTAACCATTCTTTTTCTTTTGGGTTCACTTGAATGAGCAACAAGAATTTCAGGAGTTTCTATATTGGTGAAGATTTGACTCTATTTTCAACAATTTGAGTGTGACAGGCCCGGGTCATTTTGTATTACTGGCTAAAACTCAAATTGCTCAGAAAGAAAATTTGATACTTGATAGGTCACAAGCAACTTAGAGACGAGGCTTCCACATTTGAATGTTGGATCCATTGCCAGGGAGAAGTTTGCCACTACTTAGAAGAGGTGGACCTTGACATGCAAGACTACAAGGAGCTGGTGCAGGCAAGAAGAAGTCAGCTAGTAAAGGAAAAGGAGTCTAAGGTTGAAGCAAAGGAGAATGGGGAAGCTTCGAGAGCTTCTCTCTGCTAGTTGGGATGAAATGGCAGATGAAAGACTCTTTGCAGTGGGAGGAAACGAAGTTTCAGGATGCAACGTGATTTCCAAGCACAGCACTATGAGGATGTTGGTGGTGAGATTATTTTATCAGATGGAGAATTCAGGCAAATATAGGGATTCTGTTTTCTTTTGCTCCTTACATTCTGCTTGAAGGCTGTTTGTACAGAACAGCCAGCCTGTCCATGGGAGTGAGGCCCTCTGCACTTGTTTCCCCTGTTCGCTGTTATGGAATGTCCTAAGATAAATCACAGAACATTAGAGCGCACTGTCATGAAACCTAAGTTACGGATGCTTAGAAGCCAATGGCAAGTGTACTTGCGAAAGAAAATTTTTCTCAGCTTGATCAGGCTTGGCCATCTCGATCAAAGAATTTGTGGGGACAAATAAACGAAAGATTATATCATGTATCTGGAAACGCTTTGTAATGTCCTTGACCTTTCCCCCCGCTTGTGGTGATGGAGAGCCAGTTAGAGCTACCAATCGTGGATCCTCTCCTAGAGTTGCTGCAGATGCTGGAATCTTTGCAGTCAGTGGATCTCTCAGGGCTGTCGACCACGGAGCAGGCCAAAGAAGAATTTTCGGCCGCGGCTTTGGCTTTGCAGACACGTCTGTTGTGGTCGGTTCAGATTGAGATCGAAACAACAAAGGAAAGCATGAGCCAGACGTGCGTGACGTGTCAGCCACGTGGCTGTCCACCTGACTTGGGCAGACACCCGAGAACTTCAGCGTGGACAATGGCTTTGTTAGCGCATCTGTGGGCATGTCTTGTGTGGGGCAGTAATTGAGCTCGATTACCCCATCTTCGAACAAAAAATGATGTGTTGTGTCCATGTGTTTCATCTGGGAATTAATCTTGCAATGTTTGCTCAAGGCTCTGCAGCCCTGATTATTACAATAGATTGGTGCTGGGCCTGGAAAGGAGTAGCCCATGTCATTGAGGAGGCAGCGAAGCCAGATGGCTTCCTTGCATGCAGAATTGGCTGCAATGTACTCCGCTTCACAGCTGGAGCACACAACAACGCTCTGCTTCTTGCTACTCCAGGAAATAGCTGCATTGTGAAGGCTAAAGAAGTAGCCAGTATGTGACTGTCAAGAATCTGGGCAGCCTACCCAGTCAGAGCCATTGTATCCTTGCAAGCTTGACTCTGCAGTCTTGTAGAAGACCATAAGTGCTTGCCAGTGTTGAGGTCCAGGATTATCAAGGAACCTGCTCACCAAGCTCTCTGAGAAAGCAAGGTCCAGGTGTGTGCACATGATGAGATACATCAAGCTTCCAATAGCGCTTTGGTAAGGAACTCAGGCCATCTCACTCTGCTCTTTATCTGTAGAGGAGATTGATCTTTGGAGAGTTTCAGACTTGCTACCATTGGTGTCGGAGTTGGAAAGGCTTTATCCATGGAGAACCGCTACAAGATGTCCTCCACGTATTTTTGTTGATGGAGAAATAGGGAGCCATCTGATTGGCAATCTACCTGAATCCCAAGACAATAGTGAGTTTCACCAAGATCTTTCATCTCAAAATGAGAAGAGAAAGCTTGCTTGATCTCTGCGAGGAAGGTCAAGCTGTTATAAACCAATAGAGAGTCATCAATGTAGATAGCGATGTAAATCACATCATCTCCCACTTGTTTGAAATAAAGATTTGGATTGTTCTTGCTCCTGGAAAAGTTAGAGCGCATGAGAAAGTCGTCAAACTTTATGTACCACTGCAGTTGCCAGAGTAGCTCTCCTTGCCTGGAACTTTGTAGTCTTCCGGTTGCTCCACATTAATATCTTTGTCCAGCTTTCCATTGAGGAAACCAGTTTTGACGTCCATCTGGTGAACGTGCCAATTCTCTACTGCTGCAAGTGCGAGCAGTGTGCAAATTGTTGTCAGCTTGACAACAGGAGCAAACATTTCAGTGTAGTCAAGGCCAGCCACTTGAGAGTAGCCTTTTGCGACTAGCCGGGCTTTGTAGCACAAGACAGTGTTCTCTGGGTTAAGTTTGATGCTTAGAATCCACATCGATTTAACCAGCTTGTGTCTAGGAGGTGCTTGTCTCATTAAAGTGAAGGTTTTGTTTTTGACAAAGGAATGGTATTCCTCATCAAAAGTGGCTTGCCATTTTTCCCTGTCAAGAGACTTGAGAGCGTCAGTATAGCTGTGTGGAACTTCTGGAATTTCAACTCTCTCGACAAGACTTGCCTTGAGTATCTTGCACAGCTGTGAGCAAAGTCTCAATTAGCCATTGCGGTGGCTTGCCCTTGGTCAAGCAAGAAGACCAGCAAAGAGGAGGCTCAAGAGGAGCGGCTGCAGTCTGCACCAGAGCAGGTCGTTCAAGGGGAAATTTTAAATTAGGGCACCTTGGTCTTGAGAAAGTGACTTGAAATTTGGCCTCCCACTGGATCGGGCACGACTGGAGGGCCGAGCGGAGTAGGAGGGACGGCTCGCAGTGCCAGAACAGGCTGCGGCTTCGTCACAGGGCAGCACCGCCAAAGGAGGAGTAGGATTGTCTTCCACTGGATTATGTTGAAGTGCACATTGCATGAGATGATCAACTTCTTGGTGACAGGATTGTAGACTTGTGTTCACAGCTGTAGCCTAGGAAAATGCCTTGTTCACTTGTTGGAGTGAGCTTTTTCCTAGTTTTAGAGGGAATATGAACTTAAACCTCACATCCAAATACACTCCTGGTTTTCGTCCTATCCAGGCGTCTTTTTTGGAACAGCTTTCATGGGAAGGCGGTTCTGGAGATAGCATGCTGTCATCACGACTTCAGCCCAGAATTTAATCGGGACTTGATTCGCTTGTAGCATGCTGTTGGCAGCATTGAGCAAATTATGATTTTTCCGCTCTGCAACACCATTCTGCTGTGAGGAGTAGGGTGTTGTTTGTTCTCTCTGGATTCCATGTTTTTGTAGGAACTGGGAAAACTTGTGAGAGGTGTATTTACCACCTCCATCCAATCGAAAACGTTTCAGCGTTTTGCCTGTTTGAGTTTCTGCAAGACATTTAAAAATCTTGAGTTTTTCTAGAGCTTGTGATTTGGATTCCGGACAGAAAACAAAAGTTTTCCTGCTGAAATTATCAATAAAACTCATGAAGAATTGAGAACCGCCATAAGAAACATGGAGAAGGGCCCCAAATGTCACTATGGACAAGTTCGACGACTTCAGAGCCTCAACTAGCTCCTCGCTTTGGAAATGGAAGCTTGTGTTGTTTCCCGAGTTAGCAACCATCACAAAAAGAGAGTTTTGCAGTGGTGTCAAACTGGGAATCGAGGCCTTCCACAAGTCTATCCTTTGTGAGTTGGGCAATGCATTGTGTGCTCACATGGCAAAAACACCAATGCCACAACTCGAGCTGGTTCAAGGTAAAGACCATGAACGTGAGGAACTGGTGAGGGCACTCAACCACTTCGGCAGCTCGTGTTGGCTCCATATAAATCTTCCCTCGCTCCAGAACTCTGTCAAGAACCATAAGGGCTGGCTACCAAGGCTTCCATGTTATGTACATCTTCTTTCTCAAGATTGGGTTTACATACATATGGCGGTGATTGATAGGATTCTTGCCAGTCTAACTCACATGAAATCTCTAGATATAAGGAGCAGTTCAAGCCATGCATACTCCTCCAGCTACTTGTACTCAATGGGAGGCGGTGTCCAAGTCCAAACCAGTTCCCTGGAGGTGGCTTAGGATTTTCAAGCAAGCGTACATTGTAGAGGGGCCTCAAGGGGACGGATGGGCTGCTTCGAAAGTGACAATAAGTTTACTCACGCCAGGACTTTGTGACCAAGCTGTGTTTGGTTTCTCATTCCTCAACAGAAAGCGCTCTTTTCCTTCATGGGCAGTGTTGCATTCATACCACAACAGAAGGAAGTTTACAATGCACTGCTTCCTGTGCTGATGCCAGATCCGGATGGATAGATGAGCTTCTGGTTCACATTTGAAATAGGGCAGTGCACACCAAAGAGCTTGCCACTTGCTGCATTGTACCAGTATTTTTGTGTCTATTGCAGCAGCTCCAATTAGGTTCCAGAAGCCAGCTCGCACCTTGGGAAACTTCATGCTGTGGAACTGCTCTCTAGAACACGATGGAAGGTGTGATCCAATTAACACCTGATTTGATCTAAGCTACGGTTGATACTATTTGGCGATGGGTTCTACTCCTTCGAGGCCTATGTGGCTATCAAGGGGGTTTGTCTCTGGCAGTTGTGGTGATGGTGGCGATGAGGGGTGGCAGTTGGGTTTCTGCAATTGCTTGATAGACATCCCCTAGGGTGTTTATTGTGTGGCCCTGGGAAGGAACATGGAGATTCTTCATGGGGGCTAGACATTATGTGTGGCTGCCTATCTACTTTTGTTCCTCCTCCAACAGCTGTATGTGCATACTTCTGCTTGTACATGTGCAAGTTATGATCCGTGTTCCACCTCCCAGAGTCTCATCTCTCGGTTTCGGTTTCGGTTCCATCTCGAACTCCATTTTAGACTCCATCTTGGGTCTATTTTAGACTCCATATTAAACTCCATTTTCAGACTCCATCTCGAACTTTATCTTGGGTCCATTTTAAATTTCATCTCGGATTCAATCTCGAATTCCATCTTGGATCCATCTTGGGTCCATTTCGGACTCCATCTCAGGTCTATCTCAGACTCCATCTTGGACTTCACCTCGGACTCCAACTCGGGTCTATCTCGGACTCCACCTCAGACTCCAACTCGAGTCCATCTCAAACTCCATTTCGGACTCCATCTTGGGTCCATCTCAAACTCCTTCCACATGTCATGTGTTGGTCCTTTTTATGTCTCTTTTTAGAGACTCATTTATTGCTCGTTTTGTGCTTATTCCTCGAGCACTTCGTTGGGAGTTCCACTCCCGCTCTCGACCTTTTGAGTTGGAACTTTTAGTCCATATATGTTACATTTGTTTGGCTTTTGCTTTGGCCACTACCACGTGGCACCCTTTCAGCTCCACTTTGGGGCTTAGGGATTT